CAGGCTTGAGCCACCGCGCCCGGCTGTTTTTTTTTTTTTTTTTTTTTAAGACAGGGTCAGGCTGGGCGCGGTGGCTCACGCCTGTAATCCCAGCACTTTGGGAGGCCGAGGCGGGTGGATCACGAGGTCAAGAGATCGAGACCATCCTGGTCAACATGGTGAAACCCCGTCTCTACTAAAAATACAAAAAATTAGCTGGGCATGGTGGTGCGTGCCTGTAATCCCAGCTACTCAGGAGGCTGAGGCAGGAGAATTGCCTGAACCCAGGAGGCGGAGGTTGCGGTGAGCCAAGATCGCGCCATTGCACTCCAGCCTGGGTAACATGAGTGAAACTCCGTCTCAAAAAAACAAACAAACAAACAAAAAAAAAACCATGCGCACTCAGACTCCAACCCCGTACATTTGGGCTTAGGGTTCTATGGGCTGTGGTGACTCTGAAAGAAAAACAATGGTACAGCTTCCGTGGTAGGGACTTTGGCAGTCTCCGTGAACATGGCAGAGGCAAATCCTCTGACCTAGCAATTCTGCTTCTAGTTTATCCTGTAGACGTGCATCTGGGTGAAAATGTGCAATGCTTTTTGAGAGTAAAAGATTGGAAGGAGCTACCTGTCCATCAGTGGGGCCTAGATAAACATTAATAAATATCACCTCCATATGATAGACCAGGGCATTGTAGGGTGTTCATCAGCACCTTCCTTAGTCTTTACCCATAGATGACAGTATCGTCTTTCCCCCTCCAGTTGTGACAACTAAAAATGTCTCCAGACTGTCAAATGTCCCCTAGGGGGCTCAGTCACCCATGGTTGAGAGCCACTGTCTTATGTACTGATAGGGAGTTACTGCTAGAAATTTTTTTTTTGAGGCAGGGTCTCACTCTGTCTCTCAGGCTAGAGTGCAGTTGTGTGATCACAGCTCACTGCAGCCTTGAACTCCTGGGCTCAAGGAATCCTCCTATCTTAGCCTCCCAAGTAGCTGGGATCACAGGTGTGCACCACCACACCCACCTATTTTTTTGTTTTGAGACAGAGTCTTGCTCTGTCGCCAGGCACTAGGCTGGAGTGCAATGGCGTGATCTCGGCTCACTGCAACATCTGCCGCCCGGGTTCTAGCGATTCTTCTGCCTCAGCCTCCCGAGTAGCTGAGACTAGAGGCATGCACCACCACGCTCAGCTAATTTTTGTATTTTTTAGTAGAGACGGGGTTTCAGCATGTTGGCCAGGATGGTCTCGATCTCTTGACCTCGTGATCCGCCCACCTCGGCCTCCTAAAGTGCTGGGATTACAGGCGTGAGCCACCATGCCTGGCCTATTTGTGTGTGTGTGTGTTTTTTGTTATTGATGTTTTTTCATAATTGTGTGTATAAACTTTCTGATGAATTAATTTTTCCTTTCTGTCTTGATTATATTGCCTCTGATTTGCTCAAGAGCTGCATCTCCTGACTTACCAAAAAAGAGACATTTGGCCGGGTGTGCTGGCTCATGCCTTTAATCCCAGTACTTTGGGAGGCTGAGGTGGGTGAATCACAGGTCAGGAGTTCAAGACCAGCCTGTCCAACATAGTGAAACCCCATCTCAACAAAAATACAAAACTGAGCCAGCATAGTGGCGGGTGTCTGTAGTCTCAGCTACTCGGGAGGCTAAGGCAGGATTGCTTGAACCCTGGAGGCAGAGGTTGCAGTGAGCTGAGATCACGCCACTACACTCCAGCCTGGGCGACAGAGGGAGACTCAGCCCCAAAAAAAAAAAAAAAAAAAAAAAGTGACATTTAGGTCAGTCACATTGGCTCACGCCTGAATTCTCAACACTGGGAGGCTGAGGTGCGAGGATCACTTGGGCCCAGGAGTTTGAGACCAGCTTGGGCAACAAAGCAAGACCTTGTCTCTACAAAAAATAACTAGCTGGGCATGGTGGTGCACATCAGCAGTACCAGGTACTTGGGAGGCTGAGGTGGGAGGATTGCTTGAGCCCAGGAGTTCATGTCTGCAGGTCTGCAGTGAGCTATGCTAGCACCACTGCACTCTAGCCTGGGCGACAGAGTGAGACCTTGTGTCCAAAAAGAAAAAAAAAAGGGGCCAGGCACAGTGGCTCATGCCTGTAATCCCAGCACTTCAGGAGGCCAAGGTGGGTGGCTCATTTGAGACCAGGAGTTCATGACCAGGCTGGCCAACATGGTGAAACTCTGTCTCTACTAAAAGTACAAAAATTAGTCAGGTATGGTGGCACACACTTGTAATCCCAACTACTTGGGAAGCTCAGGCATGAGAATCACTTGATCCCAAGAGGCAGAGGTTGCAGTGAGTGGAGATGGTGGCGCTGTACTCCGGCTTGGGTGACAGAGCAAGATTCTAACTCAAAAAAAAAAAAAAAGTGACATTTAGTGTTTAGGAAAGATAACCAAAAACCTGGCAACACTGGTTACCTGTTGGAAGGGCAACAAAGGTGGACAGGGGTAGGAGAGGTATTTATCAGTATACCTGCTTCTATACTCTTTGAGAATAAATTTTAATAATTCTAATGGGCAGTCGGGTTTGAGAAGCACGGCTCTGAAGCAGCAGTAATTACCCTGTCTGATCATTTTTTTTCCGGCAATCTGGAAGCAGGGTCCATTCTAGATTCTGCAAATCCACCTGATGTTTCCTTTCTCCTTCCTTTCTTCCTTCTTACCTTCCTTTTTTCTTTATCTTCCTCTTTTCCTTTCTTCCTTTCCTTTCCCTCCTCCCTCCATTCTTCCCTCCTTCTCTTTCTTTTCTTTCAATGAAGTTTTGCTCTGTCACCCAGGCTGGAGTGCAGTGGCACTATCTTGGTTCACTGCAACTTCCGCCTCCGGGGTTCAAGCGATTCTCCTGTCTCAGCCTCCTGAGTAGCTGGGATTACAGGTGTGTACCACCAGGCCTAACTTTTTTTGTATTTTTGTAGAGACGAGGTTTCTCCATGTTGGCCAGACTGCTTCCAAACTCTGGACCTCAAGTGATCTACCTGCCTTGGCTTCCCAAAGTGCTGGGATTACAGACGTGAGCCACCACACCTGGCCTTGCCTAATGGCTTCTTAGCAAACTTCAGTAGAATGTGTAGAATGTGGTTCTGATAAACTTGAATGCTGGTAGGAGGTGCTACCTCGCTCCATCTGTGAGCACCCAGCCCTATGCCCTGGATGCTTGGCGGGTGGAGAGAAAGAGTGTTATGTGGGCAAGCCTCCAACCCACCAGTTGCAGGCAGAGCCTCTGGCTCTCTGCTGCTGCAGCCCTGTGTCAGTCAGACGTGTGGTCCCCAAGCCAGCTTCCCACCTAGCACCCTTGTTTTGCTACAGCTCCCCCACCTGCCCTCCTGCATTGCCTAGGATCCCATGCCCTACTTTCAATCTGCTCTGGGACATTTGTCTTCTTTGCAGGGGACTAAGTATTTGACTTAATGAATCCTAAAAGGAAAAAAAAAAAAAACAAACATGTCAGGAAAAAAGTGCACACAAGAAATGTTGCAACATCTCATCCTTAGCAACTTTGTTTGGTTAGCACTGCATAACTCACAGTAGATTCCAAGGCACCTGCCTTGAACATTGCTACATGCTCTAGGCATTATCAGGAAAGTAGCCAGGGCTCCTGCAAAGTTGTCTCCAGTCTCTGGGTGGGAGGACCATCATCTATATTGTTTGTGGCTTTGTGTCTGAGTAGGCTACTGAGCCTCTGACTTCATAACTTGTCTGCCTGATGGATACATTCTGTGTAATACGTTACTATCACAGTTTCATGAATGTAACTCATTAAGATCTATTCCCTCCTGCTGAACTATGTCACCAGTAATAATAAAACCTCTACACACAGCATTTTATACAAAGCAACTCAAACAGCAATGATAGTGGCAAGTGATGTATTTGGCTTAAGGAAACTTGAGTTACTGAAGTTAACGCAAAAGTCTGGCCTCAGTTCGTGGGATTATTAAATATATATCCTAAGGGATCAGTCATCTATTATAAACGGTGATAGCCCTGGGTATAAATAAACATTTCTTTAGAGTTTGGCATCAGTTTTTCAATGTCCATCCTCAAATCAGCAGTCTGTTTGAGGGGTCAGTTTTCAGGGTGCGTCCACACCAAGAGGCTTGAGGCAGCAGCGACCCCTGGTCTGCAGTTCGGCTGTAGGCGCCGATGGTGGGCGGTCCAGGCTGGAGGGTGGAGCTGGGCCAAGGTCACAGGTGCTGCAGGGCTTCCTGTCCTTGCTCTGTGTACCCGTCATCGCGGTGCGTGTTTGCCCACTGTCCAAAGGACTCCTGGATGTGCACGTTTCTCTGCGTGTTGGCCAGGCGCTTCTTATCTCGGGAGAAGAAGCTAAACCTTTGGAAGGGAAAGAAAACACAGAAATGAGAGCTGACCCTTCGCTGTGCACTTTATATTTTTTTTGCAGTGCCGGAGACATACAGCAGCAAACTCAGAAGGGAGCAAATCAATTCAAAGTGTGAAAGACAGTTGGGGGTGCAGGTCAAAGTTATTCCAAGAAAGCAGCAGGGTATTCTGCATGTCATTTGGACATGGTACCTTGGAGGTCACGCGGTCTGGGAAGGCATGCATGTTGATGTGATGTGTGAGTTGTCTTCCACCTTAGTGGCTATGGAGGATTTATCCCGTTACCAGTGGAAATAAAAAGCGACTGAAACAAATCACGGGTTTCTTTAATTACCCTAATGACGCAGAGAAAGGAATACTTGAGAGCTGTGTGGAATGTGAGACGATTCTGTTGTAAACAGATGAGTATTTCTAACTTAAATAGTTCTGTACTTGTTTACTGTCAGGAAACTGTGGCCCAGATTTCATGGGCATTAGTGCTTAGGATGAGGCTACAGGAAGCACTTAAGATAAACGAGACAATAAAAAATATATTATGGGCTGGGCGCGGTGGTTCACACCTGTTAACCCAAGCACCTTGGGAGGTCAAGGCAGGTGGATCACTTGAGGTCAGAAGTTTGAGACCAGCCTGGCCAACACAGTGAAACCCCGTCTCTACTGAAAATATAAAACTTATCTGGGCATGGTAGCACACACCTGTAATCCCAGCTATTTGGGAAGCTGAGGCAGGAGAATTGCTTGAGCCCGGAGGCGGAGGCTGCAGTGAGCCAAGATCGCGCCACTGCAGTCTAGCCTGGGCAACAGATGTAAAACATAGTATGCATGGTTCTCTGAAATGAAATTTGGGAGGCATCAATTTGCACTTTCCAATGTGGATTTAATGGTGAAAACCTTTAGAATGTATCACTGTAACCAGCTACAGAGCCACAATCTGGCCTGACTTTAACTAAGGTAGACCAAGAGATCAAACAGCTGTGACTGTTGCTTACTGATCAGAGAGAACCATCAGGAGTAACTTAAGCATATCCTAAGAGTGACAGAAAAAGAAAAAAAAAAAAAAAGAACCATCAGGAACTTGCAGATGCCTGAAAGATACAGGCAGAAGTCACAAGCATGCTTGACTTTGTTACCGTAGAAAAAAATAAAAACAAAAGAAAAAAAAAGTCACAAGCAAAAAGCTTGCAAAGTAGTCAGCTTTTTTTTATTTATTAAATATTATTATTATTTTGAGATGGAGTTTCACTCTTGTTGCCCAGGCTGGAGTGCAATGGCATGATCTCAGCTCACTGCTTCCTGGGTTCAAGCGATTCTCCTGCCTCGGCCTCCTGAGTAGCTGGGATCATAGGCGCCCGCCACCACGCCTGGCTATTTTTTCTGTATTTTTAGTAGAGAAAGGGTTTCACCATGTTGGCCAAGCTGGTTTCAAACTCCTGACCTCAGGTGATCCACCCATCTCGGCCTCCCAAAGTGCTGGGATTACAGGTATGAGCCACCATGCCCAGCCAAAGTAGTCCATTTAAAACAAGGTCTGTGGCTGGGCGCGGTGGCTCAAGCCTGTAATCCCAGCACTTTGGGAGGCCGAGGCGGGTGGATCACGAGGTCAAGAGATCGAGACCATTCCGGTCAATATGGTGAAACCCCGTCTCTACTAAAAATACAAAAAATTAGCTGGGCATGGTGGCGCGTGCCTGTAATCCCAGCGACTCAGGAGACTGGGGCAGGAGAATTGCCTGAACATGGGAGGCGGAAGTTGCGGTGAGCCGAGATCCCACCATTGCACTCCAGCCTGGGTAACAAGAGCGAAACTCCGTCTCAAAAAAAAAAAAAAAACAAGGTCTGCTTTGAGTTCATGTAAACTAACTAGGACCCTGGTCAGTGAACTTGAAGTTGGCCTACCTTGAGGAATTCCCAAAAACTCTTCCTAAAACTTTCCTTTGATACTACCAGGCTCTATTAAGATTCCTTCTGTTGTCACCAAGTTTTACTTTTTTTTTGAGATGGAGTCTCACTCTTTTGTCATCCAGGCTGGAGTACAGTGGCTCGATCTCAGCTCACTGCAACTGTTGTCTCCCGGGTTCAGGCGATTGTCCTGCCTCAGCCTCCCAAGCAGCTGGATCACAGGTCCATGCCACCACACCCAGCTAGCTAATTTTTTTGTATTTTTAGTAGAGATGGGGTTTCACCATGTTGGTCAGGCTGGTGTCAAACTCCTGACCTCTTATGATCTGCCTGTCTCGGCCTCCCAGAGTGCTGGGGTTACCGCATGAGTTGCCACGCCTGGAAGTCACCAAGTTCTACTCCTGAATTTTGGCTCTGAACTTGGTAAGAGATATCATATAATAGCTATGTTATGTTTCCTGGGAGGCAAGAATAGGAACAAAGCCACTGCAAAATCAAAGCTTCGGATAAACTATTTTTGGTTCTCTATGTTCGCTGGTTGCTAGTGTTGCAGCCTCTAGAGTTTAGTTTTAAATCACATCTGGGTGAAAAAAATTTCACTCTTCTGTGGTTACTGGATCCCACAATCACTTTTTACCAAGAATAAACTGATCTTTCATTGCAAAGCCACAGCAAGCCAAGTTTATCCAATGAAACTCTCCCTAGCAACTAAGATGCCTTTTCTCTATGACAGGTAAGTGTGCTGGCGAATAAAGGCACGATTCTCACACCGGGTTATTTGTGAGCTCTTTCCATAGGGTAATCCAGGCAATTAGCTGGCCAAAAATACAGCAGCCATACATCATAGTTACACTGCACCTCTCCCTGACTCAGGTAAACAGGAAAGCCACTTAGCCCTTCTGACACAGAGAGAATCAAAACACTGGTCCCCTCCTCTGCTTTCCTTTTGAAAGCAAGATCAAATGGCTGACTTGAGGTTGGCTTGGGAAACAAAGCAGTTTAGAAAGCTACAGGGTGAACATCAAAAAAACAGGGTTAGTGTCACTCAGGAACCGCGGTAGGCGTTGATTACTGACCCGTCACTTAAAGGACCTTCTTTACTGGATCATGGGCAAGGTGGTTTTAGAACAGAAACAGAAGAGACAAGAAGAATTATCGGTGACGGAGCCGAGAATTCTGAGGCTTCACTCGAGGAGAACAAGCGCAGCCAGAGGCACAGCTGAAACCACACTCAACGTCCACTTCAAATGAGCACGCGGGTGGCGGCCATGCAGCTTAAGTGGCCAGGGAGACAGGCCAGCCCAGCAGTAGCTGCAGCAGACATTCCAAGGGCACAGCTCAAACAAAACCCAAAACACACACAGTGCCTACAAGGGAAACAAGTCGTCGGACAGGCTGCAGTGTGGGGTCATCTATTATCAGTCCAGCTGCTACCATGGGCATTATGGCTGTAAAGATCCTGGTTAGAGAAGTACAGATAGACACAGAGAAGATAAAAACGGGAGGCATGAAAAAGAAACACTCTACGGACACCAGCGGAAGGGTTTGATGAGGGTCTAAGTTAGGGGTTGAATTGTGTCCCCTGCCTCTAAATTAATTTAAAAAAATTTTTTTGAGACGTTGTTTTGCTCTTGTTGCCCAGGCTGGCATACAGTGGCTCGTTCTCGGCTCATTGCAACTTCCACCTCCCAGGTTCAAGCGATTCTACTGCCTCAACCTCCCAAGTAGTTGGGATTACAGGCATGCACCACCACACACTGCTAATTTTTTACATTTTTAGTAGAGACGGGGTTTCACCATGTTGGCCAGGCTGATCTCAAACTCCTGATGAGCTTGTGATCTGTCTTGCCTCAGCCTCCCAAAGCGCTGGGCTTACAGGTGTGTGCCACTGTGCCCGGCCTGTACCCAGCTATTTCTAAAAGAAAAAAAAATTTTTTGAGGCCAGGCGCAGTGGCTCATTCATACCTGTAATCCCAGCACTTTGGGAGGCCGAAGTGGGAGGATCATCTGAGGTCAGGAGCTCAAGACCAGCCTGACCAACACGAAGAAACCCTCGCTACTAAAAATACAAAATTAGCCGGACAAGGTGGTGCGTGCCTGTAATCCCAGCTACTCAGGAGGCTGAGACAGGAGAACTGCTTGAACCCGGGAGGCAGAGGTTTCAGTGAGCCGAGCTCGCGCCATTGCACTCCAGCCTGGGCAACAAGAGTGAAACTCCTTCTAAAAAAAAAAAACAAACCAAAAAACTAAAACTGATGCAGTATATGACAGCCACAAATGGATGACAGAGTGGCTCCCCAGGGCTAAAATGCAGGGCTGCATGTGGGGAAGGAAGAAGGCGAAACACGCTTTGGGAGATGGTGGTGATGCCCTGGCAAGGGGGCCTTTCAGTGTCCTCCCCAACTGTGATGAGCTGCAGGCACCATGCCCCTAAGCACCAGGCGAGAACCAGGAGAGACCGTGAGGCAGAGAGAGGGGCCAGGCACAGCCTGCAGAATCATCAGCTATTCTGGTCCAAGCCCACAGTAAATAAATGCTCATCTGTTCCTCAGCTGGGCAGAGGAAATGATGAAACTCCAACCATGCCACGAAAGCTTATTTTGAAAAGCTGTCATTTTTGTAAAAAAGGTTGGTTGGATAAAGATAAAATAATCGTCTCCAATGAGACTTGGAGATGCTCCAGGTGTTTGGATCACCTTTGATATGCTTCACAGAGTAGCTGGGAGTTAGTGTCTTTTTCTTTTTAAATTAAAAAAATAATAATTTTCTAATGATTCAGTTCCAATGCATTTTCTTTTTTTGACAGAGTCTCAATTTGTCACCCAGGCTGGAGTGCAATGGCACGATCTCAGCTCACCACAACCTCTGCCTCCAGGGTTCAAGCGATTCTCCTGCCTCATCCTCCCGAGGAGCTGGGACTATAGGCGTGCGTGACTCTGCTGGGCTTATTTTTATATTTTTAGTAGAGATGAGGTTTCCCCGTGTTGGCCTGGCTGGTCTTGAACTCCTGGCTTCGACTCCTGAGCCACCTGCCTTGGCCTCCCAAAGTGCTTGGGGCGAGCCACCATGCCCGTCCGGGAGTTGGCATCTTTGCAGAGCCTCCTGGACGGTTTCTCAGGATGATGTGGAGAAGCTGAGATGCCTTCTGCTAAGTGAGTGGGCCCAACCCCCCGAGGCCAGGCTACTGGGCACAGTTAGCCTTCCAGGCGCTCCAAGCCACACCATTTTGTACCCACCTTTGCCAGGACACCTAAAGAGGTTACCCACAAAGATACAGTCATTGTGTGGGAGGTGGCCTCAAACATAGGGGGGATAGTTTGCCTGGAGAGATGTTTGCCCATCAGGAATGCTGGACTTCATTTAGGGCCTTGGCAGGGGGTGACCGATGCTCGGGGGCCTGGGACACCTGCAGTGTTCTGACTGAGTTACTGCATCTGTGTTTTTTTGTTTTGTTTTGTTTTGTTTCAGAGACAAGTCTTCCTTTGTTGCTCAGCTGGAGTGCAGTGGTGCAATCTGGGCTCACTGCAGCCTCGACCACCTGGGCTCAAGAGAGCTTCCTGCCTCAGTTTCCCTAGTAGCTGGGACTACAAGCGTGTGCCACCATGCCCAGCCAATTAAATATTTTTTTTTGTAGAGACAGGATCTTGCTATGTTGCCCAGGCTCATCTCAAACTCCTGGCCTCAAGTGATTCCCCCCACCTTGGCCTCCCAAAGTGTTGGGATTACGGGCATGAGCCACTGCACCCGGCCCTGTCTGTGTCTTGCTGGGCTCACTGAGTGGGCAGCCCCTTCCCTTCCTATTCCAGGGGCTGCCCTGCAGAAGCTGCCTCCTCTAGAAGGACAGCCATTTCCATAAAAAGATTGACTTGTTTTGGCCAGAAGTTTGTCTTGAATACCCTGTAGCTGGTTTTAACTCCCCCCTCCCCGCCAAATATTTCTGGAAGACTCAAACCAAATGAAGTTCTAACAGTGGCATTTCAGGCAGCGTAATGGGCGGCTGTGAAGAAGCTATTCCTGGGCTGGAGCGAGGGGGTGGTGGGTGGGAGGACGGGGACAGAATGCACTGTCATTGCTACCCTTGGACACCTGGGTGGCCGCCCACTCCAAAGCCAACCTTTCCGTTCCTTGAGGCCAGTTCTCATCCTTGCTTCCCTGGTCCCTGATCTACACCCACCTGTCTTCCGGTCTCCCGATCAGCCCCTGGCCCCTGCCCTGCAAAAGGCAGCTGTGTGCGTCTGTGGGACCGTGACTGAGAGACAGAGACCACGCAAAGCGGGGCGCTGGTGCCTGGTGTTCCCTGGGGATGAGGCTGAAGTCACTCCAGCACTCCCTCGTGACCTTCCTGGGCAGTGCCAGCCCAGCCTCTCTGGCCAGCAGCTGCTCAATCACAAATCACAAACTATTCCTGGAACATCTTTGGGGCACACTGTTTTGACTGGTTCCCTTGTCTGGTTCAGTCTAGAAATGTGAAGTCGGATGCCTGTGACTCATGGTGCAATGCACAGATAAGGGGCCCACCACCAGGGGCTCAGGTAGGGGAGCGGGAAAACAGTGGCAGGGAGGTGGGGCAGAAGAGGCATGGGTTCAAATCTGAAGACAGCCTTCCAGGCAGTTTAATCTAAATGAGGTCAGTGGGCTTCTCTGGGCCTCAGTTCCCTCATCTGAGAAATGGGGATAATTGTCTCAGCTCTGGGTCCCTGACAGGATAGAGATACCTTAGTCCAATGCTCTAAGCTGCCGGAGCCCCTGAGCCCTCCTTGGTGGCTGTGAGTTGCTGCAGGAGGATGGGTGGGAGAAACCAGTTAACAGTGTGATGGGAGCTGGAGAGCCGCCCTGAGCAGACTGCATGGCTAATACTCCCTGGAGGCAAGGGCGGGAGAGACCCAGCAGGCCAGGTGGGTGCACGAGAAATGAAGATGGAAGGATGCTCAGAACCGCCTTGAGAATTGTTATTCCTTGCCCCAGCCCAGGGGAAGATCTGTCCCTGCCTAGGTTCCTCCGCCACACTGATACAGCTTCTAGCCAGCAGTAGAGGTGGACAAAGGCAAACAGTGTCTGGCCTGCAGTGGTCAAAAGCCCTTTGTGCCAATGTGCTCTCCCAGTAATCCCCCAGCAGGTGGGGCTGGCACAGGACTGGCCACCTGCACCCTGTGGATGGGAGCTTCTGGTCTCGCTCACTGTCTCACTCTCTCTCGGCTCCCTGATTCTGGATATCCTCACCAGGCTCAGAGCCCCACATTTTCATGAGCAACCAGAAGCCAACCTAAGAGCTCTGAAAACAGGGCCCCAGGGTCCTTTCTGGAACAATCTGGAAAAGGCGGCCAGACACCACAACCTATTCAGGTGTGGGTAGAAGAACTAGTGAAAAGATCCGTTGGTTAATTCTGATAACTTCCCTCTGGATTTCACCCAATATGAAATTTGCAAAGCCAACTTAATTGTCTGTTTAGAGAAAGGGGGCCAGAGTAGAAAATTACAGTCAGAAAGAAAAACTCGGCTCTGGAAGGAATTTTTAGAATTACATATGACCGTGGGTGCTAGAGGCTCTGTGAATGCAGCACATTGGAAGTGAAGTGCTAGAAAGGCTGATTCTTTCTTTTTTTGAGTTAGAATCTTGCTCTGTTGTCCAGGCTTGAGTACAGTGGTGTGATCTTGGCTCACTGCAATGTCTGCCTTTTGAGTTCAAGCAATTCTCCTGCCTCAGCCTCCTGAGTAGCTAAGATTAGAGGCACCCGCCACCACACCTTGCTAATTTTTTTTGTATTTTTAGTAGAGATGGGGTTTCACTGTGTTGGCCAGGCTGGTCTCGAACTCCTGACCTCAAGTGATCTGCCCACCTCGGCCTTCCAAAATGCTGGGATTATAGGCCACTGCACCTAGCCTCCAAATTTGTTTTCTTAGGTTACTTTGAGTTGAGTTTCAACTGCAAATGGAAGGTTACTATTGAATCCATGATGAAAATGGTGTTGGGTCTAGAGGAAGCTTTTCTGGTGCCATGCTTATTCCCTAGGAAATGTTTATCTCTAACCAGAACTGGGGCCGCACTCCCTCCCCAATGCATCAGGGACCTGGAGTCAAGCTCCGAAGCAGCCTGAACCAAGCTGGAAGGGAGCCTGTACCTTCTAGGGAGCCATCACCAATTCCTGTGGCCAACAGGGCCCCGGATTTGAACAAGGCACCATCTTCTCTTTTTCTTTTTTTTTTTTTTTTGAGATGGAGTCTTGCTCTGTAGCCCAGGCTGGAGTGCAGCGGCGTGATCTCAGCTCACTACAACCTCTGCCTCTCAGGTCCTGGTTCAAGCAGTTCTCCTACCGCAGCCTCCCAAGTAGCTGAAATTACAGGCCCGAGCCACCATGCCCAGCTAATTTTTTGTATTTTTTAGCAGAGACAGGGTTTCATCATGTTGGCCAATCTGATCTTGAACTACTGACCTCGTGATCCGCCCACCTCAGCCTCCCAAAGTGCTGCAATTACAGGCATGAGCCACCACGCCCGGCCTTCTCTTTTTCTTTAGAGACATGGCCTGGCGCTGTGCTCCCCGGGTGGGAGTGGAGAGGCATGATCCTGCCTCACTGCGGCCTTGACTTCCTGAGCTCAAGCCGCCCTCTCACCTCAGCCTCCTGAGTAGCTGGGACTACAGGCACACACCACTATATCTGGCTAATTTAAAAATTTTTTTGTAGAGACAGGGTTCTCACTATGTGGCTCAGGCTGGTGTCAAACTCCTGGCTTGAAGTGATCCTCCTGCCTTGGCCTCTCAGAGTGCTGGGATTACAGGTGTGAGCTGCTATGTCCAGCCAAGGGCACCATTTTCTTTCTTTTTTATCCCTCTCTCTCTCTCTTTTTTTTTTTTTTTTTTTTTGAGACAGTTTTGCTTTGTCACCCTAGCTGGAGTGCAGTGGCACAATCTTGGCTCTGTCACCTAGCTGGAGTGCAGTGGCACAATCTCGCCACAATCTGCAGTGCAGCCTCAACCTCCTGGGCTTAAGCAATCCTCCCACTTCAGCCTCCCGAGTAGCTGGGACCACAGGTGCATGCTACCATACCCAGCTAATTTTTGTATTTTTTTGTAGAGAGGTGGTTTCGCCATGTTCCCCAGGTTGGTTTTGAACTCCTGAGCTCAAATGATCCTCTCACTTCTGCTTCCCAAAGTGCTGGGATTTCAGGTGTTAGCCGCTGCACCCAGCCCCAAGGGCACCATTTTCTAAGAGGAGAGGGCCCAGCAGTTAGAAACCTGCATGGTTCTGCATTGTCAACTCACAGGGCAAGAACTAACCAAGAATTTCCACACATAACTGGATTTGAGAGGTTGGGGCATATGGGTAACACTCCAGGTCCTCTCCCTACACAATCCGTCTGGCTTTCCAACTCACACGCCCTGTTTTCACAAAGTTTCTTCTGGGTTTTGGAGGAAAGAACTGAAGCCTCTTCTGTAATAAGCCTTGGATAGCACTGGAAGACAGGCCCAGGGCCTGGAAGACCCTGTGAGGGGAGAGAATGCAGCTCTGACACGGCAAGCACAAGGCAAGGCTGACTTGTAAAGAGTGTACAGTGTGGGCTCTGGGGCCAGGCTGCCTGGGTTTGAGCCCTGGCTCTGCCTCTTATTAGCTGAAGGACCCCAGGCAGGTGCCTCCGTTTCCTTAACTATAAAATAAGAATGATGATGCTTCCACCCCACAGCACCATGGTGAGGACTCAGTGAGATGCTCTGTGGGAACAGGACCCAGCATGTGTTAGCGTCTTCGTAGATACTGTCTACGAAGCAAGACCAGGGGTGTTAACCCTTTATCTGAAGAACTTTAGGGGTCCATGAACCTCCTGAAATTATACACAAATTTTACATATTTCTCTGGGGGAAATTTCAGGAGGTTTTGTGAGAATCTCAAAGGAATCTGTCGATGCCAAGAACCAGTGAGGTAGTAAGGGCTAGCTGAGGGCAGGGACCAGGTCACATTTTTTGGGGGGGTTCTCCTGCAGCAACCAAGGCCTGACTCTGCATGCATTCTGCAGTCACCGTGAATGCTTCATGGACAGAGGGCTCCATGGGTGAGCCATGGGAGAAATGCACTGATGAGGAGGACTCCGGGCTGCTCCATGTCTCAGAGCTGAGGCCTCAAGTCCTTAAGATGCACAAACCACCCCACCTCCCTACCCTTACTTCCTGTCATCAAAGGCCCAGAGATGCACCCCACCCCGCTGAAACACACTCAAGCAAGCTCCTGATTACCAGCCACTGGCCCAAGCCTCTCCCCTCTCGCCTCCCACACTCCCCAAACCTCTCTGCCCAAAAACCCCCAGGAGGAACTCAGCATTCAGGAAGGGAGACGAACTCAAAGTTGGGGGCCAGGCCAAACATCTCAGCAGGACGTGGTTAGTGACAAGCCTGGCCCTGGGAGCAGGTGCCCAGGAGGAGAAGTCAAAGGGCACGTGAACCTCCAGGTCAGCCGAGCACAGAGGCCGGCAGCGCATGACTTACAGTCGCTTGATGCCTGACTCTGGCTGGGGGGATGTCCTCGGGTGGGCGATGGGTGGAGGCTGGGGTATTCGATTTTCCTCTTCCATTTCTTCACTGGAAGGAGATGAGAGGCATGAGATAAGAGTCAAAAGTTCCTTGAGAACTGGAACATTCCAGAGGAGAACTGTCTGATGGTCCGAGATGCTTAGTGGAAGACCCACGTCTCTATTTCCAGTTTATTCTGAAGAGTCCAGCCGAACAGAACCAGTCCCCATTTCCTGTCCTTACAAATACCTCCCTATCTCTGTACCTTTGTGGTTTCTTCTACCCAGAATATGCCTGTCACCACTCAGCGTCTCCCATATCTAAATACTACCCTATCCTTTCGGGAAGGCCCAGTTCAAATGCTGCCTCCTCCAGGAGGCCTTCCGATTTCTACTCCATCTGCCAACTAGAAGTGATCTCTCCCACTCTCCCATCTTTTTTTTTTTTTTGAGACAGGGTCTCATTCTGTTGCCCAGGCTGGAGTGCAGTGGTGCAAACATAGCTCACTGCAGCCTTGACCTTGGGCTGCAGTGATCCTCCTGCTTCAGCCTCCCGAGTGGCTGGGACTACAGGGTGAGCCACCAAGCCTGGCTAAGTTTTTACAATTTTTATGTAGAGATGCAGGGTTCCCACTAGGTTGCCCAGGCTGGTTTTGAGCTCCTGGGTTCAAGTGATCCACCTGCCTCGGCCTCGCATGCTGGGATGACAGACGTGAGCCCTGCACCCGGCCTCTCCCATCTTTGAACATCTAGTGTACGGTCAGTAAACCTTTCAATACAAATGTGTGGTGCTGGATTTTCTCTGCATCTCTTATCTTCCCCACTGGAGCAGGGACCACCTCTGGTGCATGGGTCGTTCCTTCCAGCTTTATATTCAGCAGACATTTCTCGTGCATCTACTGTGTGCCAAGCTCCATTCTTGCTGGGAACTTAGCCATGGACAAGATAAAGACTTCTGGTCTCATGTGGAAACCAACAATAAAACAAGCATGAGAGTGAACAGGATAAGTAGGAGGTGAAAAGGGCCGAAAAGACAGTAACATTGGGGCCGGGTTTCATTCATTCATTCATGCATTCATTTTAAAAAAGAGATGAGGGCTGGGTGCAGTGGCACACGCCTGTAATCCCACCACTTTGGGAGGCCGAGGCGGGTGGATCACGAGGTCAAGAGATCGAGACCATCTTGGCCAACATGGTGAAACCCTGTCTTTACTAAAAATACAAAAATTAGCTGGGCGTGGTGGCACGCACCTGCAGTCCCAGCTACTTGGGAGGCTGAGGCAGGAGAATTGCTTGAACCTGGGAGGCAGAGGTTGCAGTGAGCCGAGATTGCACCACTGCACTCCAGTCTGGCGCCTGGTGACAGAGCGAGACTCTGTCTCAAAAAAAAAAAAAAAGAGAAAGAGATGAGGTCTCGCTTTGTTGCCTAGGCTAGTCTCAAATGCCTGGGCTCAAGAGTTTGCGAAAAGGGTTGTATCTAAGTACTTCGGGCCAGAGAGTGCACCCAAAAAGGACACTGACAACATGCTTGTCTTCCAGGGAGTAAGAAGGTAACTGTACAGAAACTCTGGCTAACCGAGGTCAGGAGCCAGCTCGGGCGGTCCAGCCCCAGGCCCTCACCTCTTATAGTAAGCCAGCTCCTCCTGCAGCAAGAACACCTTGGACTTGAGCTCGTTCCTCTCATGCAACACGTCCCGCAGCTCCTGCAGGGTGAACCGGGGGCGGTTGGGGTCCTTGAGATCCATGGCCACCTTCTCCGCATCAGAGACGCTCTCCTCTCCAACCGGCTCTGTCTGGAGGAGGCAGAGAGATTCTGCTAATGAATTCTTGGCAGCCACCACCGGCACCCACTCTATCCTGAAGGAGCCTGAATTCTCCCCCTCCCGGGGCGCCAGCAGCCTGCTGAGGGTGCTATTTTCAGCACCCACAGGCGGCCCATCTCACGTTCTGTACAGTTTTCCTCTGGAGGTGGAAGCCAGCGGCCACCTGTTCATTGTTCGCCTTCCCAACAGCCGAGCCCACAATCCCCGCACCTCCCCACCCGACTCGGGGTTTCAATACAAACAACATGACAAGGCGTCCAGGGAGGAGCTGTCACACCTCCCCTGCCACCACCCTCGCGCACCTCCCCTGCCACCACCCTCGCACACCTGCTGCTTCCCCCTTTCCAGGCCTCCTTTCATCTCCTTACTAAGACCACTGCTAATTTGGCCAGAGTGGTTGGAATCTCAGCCTACATACGATTCTCCATTGCTTTTTCATTTGACAGTCATTTCCATTTCCCCTATTATTACGGGGCTTCTGGTGAAGCCCTTTTCTCCCCAGTGGCTTTGGGTATCTGGAGTTCAGTGGAAGCCTGGCAGGGGTGCACACTTGGTCATTCCTCTGTGATGTGGGTGACAGATCCCAATATCATGCTAAGTCACCCGCCCCAGGTCGCACCCACGCCCAACCTCTCACCTTCTTGCACAGCAGGGGAGCCTTTTTACAAAACCGGGATAAAATATATGTAACATAAAATGTACCATTTGAACCTTTTAAAGTGAACAGTTTGGCGGTGGCATTTAGTATATTCGCATGTCACACAGCCACCACCTCCGTCTGGTTCCAGAACATTCTCTTCACAGCGAAAGGAAAACCCATACTTATTTTATTTTTTCTGAGATGGAGTTTCACTCTGTCACCGAGGCTGGAGTGCAGTGGCATGATCTCAGCTAACTGGAACCTCCACCTCTCGGGTTCAAAAGATTCTTGTGACCCAACCTCCCGAGTAGCTGGGATGATTACAGGTGTGCGCCGTTACACCTGGCTAATTTTTTTTTTTTTTTTTTGAGACGCAGTCTCACTCTGTCACCTAGGCTGGAGTGCATTGGCACAATCTCAGCTTACTGCCAACTCCACCTCCTGGGTTCAAGCCATTCTGACTCAGCCTCCCGAGTAGCTGGGATTACAGGCACCCGCCACCATGCCCAGCTACTTTTTGTATTTTTAGTAGAGATGGGGTTTCACCATGTTGGCTAGGCTGGTCTTGAACTCCTGACCTCAGGTGATCCGCCCCTCTTGGCCTCCAAAGTGCTTGGATTACAGGCGTGAGCCACTACGCCTAGCCGACCTCAGGTGATCTGACCACCTCGGCCTCTCCAAGTGCACAGGCATAAGCCTGGCCCACTTCACTCCTTTTGATGGCTGAGTCATATTCCACGGGACAGATGTGCCACACGGTGCGTATCCATTCTTTAGCTGATGGACATCTGGGTGGTTTCTACCCTTTGGCTATTATGAATAATGATGCTAAAGAATGTATGTGTGTGGACACTTGGGCATATACCTAGAAGGGGGTCCGTGGGCCACATGCTAATTCTGTGTTCAACTTTTGGAGGAGCTGTCAGACGTTTCCCACAGCAGCTGCACTATTTTACATTCCCACCAGAAATGCACGAGGGTTCCAATTTCTCTACATTCTTGCCAACATTTATTTTCCTTTTTTTTTTTTAATCACAAGGAAGCTTTTACAAGTCAGCCAGTCGATCTATAGGTGGCTCACACTCTCAAGGAAATGGAGTGTCCCCAGTACCCCTGAGCCACCAATGTCCCATGACCAACCAAGAGTGGACAGAGGTCAGGACAGAAGTGAAAAAGCTCCAGAACGGAGAAAGGGAGAGGGAAACAGACAACCCTCCCCACTTCAAAGAAAACAACACAGGCCTGGCACAGTGGCTCACATTTGTAATTCTAGCACTTTGGGAGGCTGAGGCAGGAGGATCACTAGAGCCCAGGAGTTTCAGATCAGCCTGGGCAACACAGTGAGACTTCATGTCTACATAAAAGAAAATAAAATTAGCTCGGCATGGTGGCTTGCCCCTGTAGTCCCAGTTACATGGGAGGCTGAGGCAGGAGGATTGCTTGAGCCCAGGAAGTGGAGGCTGCAGTGAGCTAAGACAGTGCCACTGCACTTAAGGCAGTGTCTCCAACAAAGTGAGACCCTGTCTCAAAAAAAAAAAAAAGAAAAAGTAAAAAAGAAAAACCCCACAGCAGCACCGACCAGGAGAAGGGGGACCAGCTCCAGCCGGGATGTACCCCGGACAGGAGGCTGAGGGATTCCAGAAGGCAGAGCCAAGATGCTTCACACCCGGGAGAGGCTGGAACTGGCTGTTCTGGGAAAGGACGCATGAAAGGAGACACCACCCACTGCTGGGGCACGTCAGGTGACAGCAGACCACACAGCAGGCCCGGGTGCGGGAGCAAGCTGACCCTGCCCAGCCTTGGGGTCGGAGTCAGCACGGGGCAGCAGAGGGCAGTTTCTGGCATCTTCCGTGCAGCCAGAAACTGAAATCTGACTCACGCTGCCCTGGCAAGCTGTCTGGGCAGCTGAGGGGCTTCTTCCTACCCAAGAACAGGGGAGGAAATGCTGGAGGATTTAATTTCCAAAGAGAGAATTCTAGGTGTCTGCTGATGCCACAACTTAGGTGGGCTGTGTCCTCAGAGGACATCTTCAACGTCCGACCTCCTCCACAGTGCCTCACAGACGCTCCGGGAACCCCCGGCAGCCCTACACTCCACGTCTCTACCCAAGACCACGTACAGCAGGCGACAGACATGCGGCCGGCATTCTACCGCGCCAGTTCCCCTCTGCCTGGCCAGCTTTACCAAGGAGCAACCAAGGACATCTAGTTACCCGACATTTCCTGAGTGCTAACTTTGTGCCATGCCGGCTGCAGAGCTCAGCCCTGGGAACAGAGTCAGATAGATGAGGCTAAAGAGAAGATACACATAAAGAGAAACTTACGGCGCGGCACAAGGGCGCTTACACCTGTAATCCCAGCACTTTGGGAGGGTGAGGTAGGTGGATCATGAGTTCAGGAGTTCAAGACCAGCCTGGCCAACACGGTGAAACCCCGTCTCTACTAATACTATGAAAAATTAGCCAGGCGTGGTGGCAGGCGCCTGTAATCTCAGCTACTTGGGAGGCTGAGGCAGGAGAATCTCTTGAACCTGGGAGGCAGAGGTTGCAATGAGCCCAGATGGCGCCACAGCACTCCAGCCTGGGCAACAGAGCGAGACTCTGTCTCGGAAAAAAAAAGGAAACATACAAGGTGGCCTAATAAAAGACATGCACAGACACCAAATCTAACTGGAGAGAATCAGGGAAGATAATCAGATGTGGTCTCTATGCATGGGGTCTTGACGAATGTGTAAGAGTTCACTAGGAACTCTGGGCATTAGTTGTATAGACAAGAGGTTGCAAACTAAGCCCTTAGATCATCCCAGTGTCCAGCCCACATTTGGCCCTCACTGTGTTCTGCAACTCTGTTGAATTAGCTGCCAACTCTTTCAGATCAGGAAACTTCATACTGAAGTCTGGGTTTTGGGCTCCTCTGGCAAGTGCACTGGAAGAAAGGGGCCCCACAGGGCCCGTTGGCAACGCTGGGCTGGTTCCAGGCAGCAGCTGCTCCCTTTTCCATCCCCCTTCTCCTCCTGCCTGGACCCAGCAGGGAGCAGCAGCCCCTGCTGTGGACCCAAACCCCAAGTTTCCTCCAGCCCCTTCCTCCCCAGACAACTCGGGTCCTGCCTTTCATAGCAGGCCAGGGCCTCGCTTCTCCTGTGTCTCTGGGAGGGACCATCTGACAGCCGTCCCCATGCCCTGGGGAAAAAGCAAAGGCCTTGAAGGGCACTCCCAAACCCTCCCCTCTCGAGAGGCCTCTGGGCAAAGCCACGCGCTCCTCTGGGCTTTCACCTCCCCATCTAGCCCTCGATAACCCAGAAATATCTCCAAGGGCCCTTCCCACCCGGGTACCTGGGGATTTCTGTGAACACACACTTTCAAAGCCACAGGAATTTCCTGCTCACCCCTAGTGGGTTTTACTTGCCCAAGACATCGAAGGGCTTCCTTAGAACCTGAGTTGTTTTCTTTCTGGGGAAGGGACAGTTCATTTTTGGGGAAGGAATGACCTGATTCTTTAGAGCCTGGGGAAATCCCAGCAAGGTATGCAAAAGTGCTTACTCTCTTTTTTTTCATACTTATTTTATTTTTATTCTATTAGATACAGGGTCTCACTTTGTTGCCCAGGCTGGTTTCAGACTCCCGTGCTTAAGCAATCCTCCTGGCTCGGCCTCCTAAAGTGCTGGGATTATAGGCGTGAGCCACTGTGTCTGGCCCCAAAGTCCTGACTTCTTTTTTTTTTCTTGTGAGACAGAGTCTCACTCTGTCGCCCAGGCTGGAGTATAGTGGCGTGATCTTGGCTCACTGCAACCTCCGCCTCTTGTGTTCAAGCAATTCTCCTGCCTCAGCCTCCTGAGTAGCTGGGCTCATAGGCGTGCACCACCACACCCAGCTAATTTTTGTATTTTCAGCAGAGACCGGGTTTCACCATGTTGGTCAGGCTGGTTTCAAACTCCTGGCCTTGTGATCCTCCCGCCTTGGCCTCCCAAAGTGCTGGGATTACAGGCGTGAGCCCCCGTGCCTGGCCTGACTTCTAATACTAATACCCGAAAGTGCAGGCAGGACAGCTCTGGGCTCTAGCTTCTCCAGAGGCCACCAGGCAGTGACCGCAGTACCACAACCAGTTCAGGCCAGGAGGGAGTAAGGAGGCTCTTTCCAAGATGCAATCGAGCTCCACCGGTGAGGTCCTCCTAGGCTTACTCCGTGAGGGCCCCTCGGGTTATTTTCTGTGGGTTATCTGCTGATCCCTGGAAGCACTTTGGGCACAGCTTCAAAGAGATACCCTGAGGGCTCAGTTGCTTCCCAGGAGGGCCCAAGAGACCAACTAACAAGCCATGGGCTGTCCAGAGGCCT